CCTGGGGAGCGTCGAGGGGTTCAAGGAGCCCAAGATCCTGCTGCCTAAGGAAAACGTGCCGGCCCCGCCGCCTCTGCCGGCATCTGCGAAGGAGAAGCGTTGGTCCAAGAAGGCTGCTGCAAAGAAGGCTCCAATCTTGACGAAGAATGAGCTCCTGGCCATGCGTGCTGAGCAGGAACAGGAGGAACAGCCCGCTGTTGTCCAGAAGGTGATCGACATGCGAGGGCCGCAGGCGCGGGTGCTGACAGACTTGAAGGGGCTCAATGAAGAACAAGAGATGGAGGCGAATGATGTGCCCATGCCAGAGCTGCAGTACAATGTGCGCCTGCTTGTTGATGAGGCCAGGGCTGATATTGTGAGGTTGGACGCGCAGCTGCGGCGGGAGCAGGAGAAGGTGGCTAGCTTGGTGCGGGAGAAGGAAAAGGTGGCTAAGCAAGAGGCATTGCAGAAACGCCAGCTGCTGGTGATGGAGAGAATTGCGGAGACACTGGAGAAGGTCCGGGAGGATGATACATCCGGCATGCTCACTCTGGATGGGTTGATTCAGACATTCCACGGGTTGAAGGTGCAGTTTGAGGAGGAGTTCAAGATGTGTAGCATTGCATGGATTGCTTGCCGATATGCTCATCCGCTGCTAATCCGCGTCTTCCAGGGGTGGCAGCCCCTGCAGGATCCAAAGTTTGGGTTAGAAGTCATGAGAAAATGGAAGGACCTGCTGCAGGGGGACCAACCATATGACTTCTCAGATAGTGCTGCATCAATGACGCCATATGTGCAGCTTGTTAGTGAAGTCATCCTACCAGCTGTGAGGATATCAGGAACCAATTCGTGGGAGGCAAGGGAACCGGAACCAATGCTCCACTTTCTTGAGTTATGGGATAATAATAAGTTGCTGCCTCCTGTTTTGCTTCAATCAATACTGGAGCATGTGATCATGCCAAAGCTCTCAGCTGCCGTGGATTCATGGGATCCTCGCAGGGAAAGTGTACCAATCCATGTCTGGGTGCACCCATGGCTGCCAATGCTAAGGGAAAGGATAGAGACCTTGTGCCATTCTATTCGATACAAGTTGAGCACTGTCCTCCATGTATGGCAAGCGCATGATGCTTCAGCATATGCAGTGTTGTCTCCGTGGAAAGACGTGTTTGATTCGGCAAGCTGGGAAGACCTGATTGTGCGGTATATCATTCCTAAACTGAGATTGGCACTGCAAGACTTTCAGATCAACCCAGCAAACCAGAAGCTCGATCAGTTCAACTGGGTGATGTTGTGGGCATCTGCAATCCCAGTACACCTCATGGTCCATATGTTGGAAGTTGATTTCTTCAGCAAGTGGCAGCAGGTCCTGTACCATTGGTTGTGCTCACCAAATCCTGATTTCAATGAGATAATGAACTGGTATAAGGGATGGAAGGGCCTTTTCCCACCAGAGTTACTTGCCAATGAGCGCATACGGATGCTGCTAACTGCTGGTCTTGACATGATGAACCAAGCTGCTGAAGGACTTGAGGTAGTGCAGCCTGGGGCTAGGGAGAATGTGGGTTACTTGAGGGCAACTGAGAAGCGGCAGTTTGATGCAGCACAGCAAGCTTACCATGCTGTCCCAGGAGCAGCCATGGCGGATTTGAGCTTCAAGGAGTCTATACAGGCATATGCAATGGAGCAAGGTTTGCTATTTATGCCTAGAGTTGGCAAGTTCTACAATGGCATGCCAGTGTATGAGTTTGGCACCGTTAGTATTTGCATAGACTCTGTGAAGCGACTACTGTATGCACAACTTCAAGAGGGTGTTGAGAGATGGAGTGCTGTAACTCTTACACAATTGATGGACATGAACCGAATGGGAAGAGCACATTAGTAGATCGCCTAGGCTTGGAGTTGCATGACATTTTTAGTTTCTTCCCTGTTGTGTAAAACTCTTCAGAGGTGTCAACCATTAGCTTTTTTGAACAATAACTTTGTTGAAGAAGAAAGGGGTTGGATCTATATCTAAATGTGCTGGATAATGCTGTATGTCTCATTGCGCTGCCGTTATTTACGGTTACGGTGCTGCTGTCAATATGATGTGGCTCTTTAGTAAATTCTATCCGGAAGCTCTGTTGTAACTGCTGAAGGACTTATGTCTTATGCTTATGCAGTTGCTGGCAAATCCTAATTACTCTGAGCACTTCTGGTTGTGCACTAAAATGTGTTTGTCTTCTAGTACGCTTTTGTTGTTATAAATTCTTTATTAATTCTGTATTTGTTCACACGATTGAATCTCCTCCCTCTAAGATTGCTTGAGTGTTGGTTTTTCCTCCAAGTCATAAGTCTGATAGAATGCCATGTGAGTGGACAGTGATGGGTAAAATTTTTATTCTTGATGAACTTATTATTTCATATACTTTGTTCAACTGTTGCTTCAACATAGTTGACCTACCATACTCCAGGAGAGTTGCTGTGGATGGCTTTTGCTAAATTTTTATACTGGAAGGTGTAAATAATGGTAGTGACATTTATTCTAAAGATCTATTGTTTGCTTGTGGAACAAAATTTATGGAGTGTTAGATTGTTGAAGTGTCATGTTAGTGTGGCCTGTGGTCTGGTCGTGATTCTGTCGTTACCATGAGGATCTTCATTTTGTTGGCTCTTGTTATTTTAAATTAAAGCAGATATAAACACCACTAGTTTCATGCCAATGTAATTGAGCTATCTTGCTTAACTGTTTTTTATTTTCTTTCTTAGGCCTGCAGGCTGAAGGAGTTACTCCATTACTTGAACTAGTACTGCCTATCGACCTGCTGTTTATTATGTTGTTCGACAAAGTTTTGACTAATAATATCATCAAAACACACATTGTTGGTTACGCTCGCCCCCCCCCAAAAAAAAAAAAGGTGTAAGATAAGCTATCTTCATCCTTTAAAACCCAATTATGTGTATCTAAATCTGGGAAATGACTGAGCATTGGTACTACTGCTCCCTTAAATTCTTGAGTGACCTGTAATTTCTGGATTTGTTTCTTCATCAAGTTTGATTTGATGTTGGCATGTTTACAGTTTGATCAGCTATTCACGATTCATTTTTATACTCTCTTAATCTCATTATGATGCATATCTATAGGTTAGACAACTACAGATTTAGTTCATGTGACTTATGATGCCGATGTCAACTTTGTGTACCTCATTGGTCTGAACCATTTGAAATTTGAATCAATGTTATTTTTAACTGACAGTTGTATAGCCAAAACCGCTATTCTCAATAATCAAACTAGTAGGATGATAAATATACAAACTGACATTCTTACAATGTACTAAAACACAAATAAAAACAATTCATGCTGCTTCCATTGTACAGCCCATTTTTTTCGCAGGCATCTGATCCTTTAACTAGTTCTATCAGGGGCTCTCTACAACAGTGCTACAAGCTAATGCAAGTGTGGACACCAATGAGCTGCTCAGTGCAGGAGACATCGATGCGGATAAATTGAACTGAACCGGCTCTACTGTCCTGACTTTTGACGTCTGTGATCAAGCCAGGCCTTATGATCTTGTCACTTACAGCACACGCACCCTTCAGCATCTTGGCGACCATTGACATGGAGGGCCTGATCTTGGGGCTATCCTGGGTGCACAAAAGACCTATTTTCAGCAACCGGCGTGCTTCCTCAGTGAGTGTCCAGACCTGACAGAATAGCAGAAATTTCAGATGATTTAAATCAAAGTCTAAGATCTGATAGCACTAGCATTTCAGGCATTTTGAAGCTAGCAATTTTGAAGGTCTGATCATTTGCTCTACTTTTACAAATAAGTTTCTCTCTCATAACTCATCAAATTTTGAAGCTAGCAATTTTGAAGGTCTGATCATATGCTTCAGAAGAACAGCATATGATCGATTGAAAAGAAAAGTTTACCTTTGTCATGTTGCACAATCTGGCTTCTGGAATTCTTCTTCCTCCAGAACACAGGGATGCAACCCATTACTACTGATTCGAGCTCTCTTCTTTGGAATTCAGATCTTCAGATATGGAAAAGAGATGCTGGTATCTACCTGAGGAAGAAACTAGTCAGTGGACTTGAAGAGACCAATCACCAGAAGTCAAAACTGTTAGTTTTAGCAAACTTACTCTTTCTGCGAGAGCAACGAAAATAAAAGAGTAGTTAATCGCACCCAAGTTTGCAGATTCATACAAAGCTCCTCGGAAGAATGAGCTAAAAGTGCTTCAAATGCATGTCGTAGAATCTAGGTCAAGAAGCTATATGGCTACAAGTGGTGTTATAAATCTAGAGGGCCCATATGCAAATATACTAGTATAGATAATCCTCATATTTGTTTCAAAGGAAAACAAAAGAATTCTGGTCTGCTTTATTTATGTCATAAAAAATACCTGCAGAAACCAATAGTGCTTTTTTTTATAAACAAGAAACCAATATTGTTGTACTACCTTGACTCATTAAGTTCACAATTCAAATAATCAACTGAGAATTCAAAGTATGTTATACTAACTTATAAGCAGCACTGCGCCAGATATGGTTCGCGGCGGCGGCAGCGAAGGGTTACGTTGCACGCCCTTCTCGAGAACGTCATAGCAGAGAACTTCTGCAGCGGTGCCACACTGCCGCAACGCAAGCAATGCTCGGACCGGACGGACGCCCGGCCGGCATAAACCCATGGATGGAAAGTTTCTTAGTGTTAACTAAAATGGCATCTTCATGAATTACCCGTCCTAAGAAAGTCCAGGATCCACGAGAGATTGGAGTTTCCAAATTATTAGACCGGTGTTAACTAAGATGGCATCCGCATGGATTACTTACTTATCTAGGAAAGAGTCCGGGATGGCCGAGAGATTGGGGTTTCCAAATTAGGCCGCCCCGGAGTCCTAAGTCTTGGGCCCCAATCCATTCATTGCGAGGGATCATTAGAGGATCGCGTCCAATATATCGAAGCGAAGAGGAAGAGGAGGAGAAGGGGGACGGGGGATTGTGAGCGTGTGCTGATGGCGGCGGCGGCGGCGGGGAGCAGCAATGTGGAGTTCATCCGTGCGCGCAGCGACGAGCGGGAGTACCGCCGCGTGGTGCTCGCCAACGCGCTCGAGGTCCCTAGTAATCAGCGACCCCGACACCGACAAGGTCCGTCCGTCCCCGTCTCTGGCCGCCGTTCGGAATGTGCTTGCTCGTGGACTCCGACCGCCGTTCGGAATGTGCTTGCTCGTGGGCTAGCTGAAGAAGGCTTAGTGATTGATTTGGTTTCTAACCTCTCTCTATGCCTGCTTCTCGCTCTGCTCAGGCGGCGGCGTGCATGGAGGTCGAGGTGGGCTCGTTCAGCGACCCGGAGGGACTCGAGGGCCTCGCGCACTTCCTTGGTGAGTTCACTAGCTACTTCACTCCTCTCCTCGCTCGGTCCTCCCCCATCCCCTCGCTCATCTCGCTTTAATTTGCTCGTTTCCAACGATTTGATTTGATTTCTCCTTCGATTCGCTGCGTGCTCGTGCTGATGGAATCAGCATTCGTGTTGATTCGTGGAGTGAGGATGTGCTCTGGGGCTGTCGCCAATGATTGGGTGGGGATTGCGGCAGTTTCGCCCTGCGATTCGCGCGATTGCTGGCGTGCGGGATCCTCTTTTGTGATCGGGCTGCGGTCTTATTGAATTGCCTCTTGACGAATCGCGGAGACGTCAACTTGGCTACTAGAGTTGCCTTTGTTCCTCGTGGGGCTTTCCTCGGTCAAATGATGACGTTGGGTCTCTGCAGTCTATAAGTCAATGGATGTTCCTTTTGTAGCTCGGCCGGCATGTTCTGTCCGCCGGACTCGGATCAAACGATTGACGGTTTGGATGTACACTATCAGGCCCCGTTCGGTTCGTTGAAAAAATAAGTCGTAACGCTGTTCCGACTGATTTGGTGTGAGAGAAAAACACTGTTCCAGCTAAAAAAACAAGCTGAAAAAGTACGGATTATAATTAGTGATATAATCAGAGCAAAGAGCTGTGTTTTTTTAGAGCGTCCATGACCATGATGATTGATCCTGTACATGCATCTCCCTTGTGTCCCAAACTTTTTTGGGCAGGGCCCAGGGTTATGCATCACTTTTCTCAGAAAGTCTTTAAAATTGTTGGGTTAACGTAAGTCTCCAGGTCGGTGACACTATTGAATCACATCTATGGAGCGATTAATTTAAAAATTGTTTACTCAGTACAGGACCGTGTTCTCCAAATAAATCCAAATCGCTCCCGGACCTTCATGCGTGGTAGGATCCTTGGCAGTTTCCTCTCTCTTATAATCTATCTTTTTCAGCTTGTTTTTCAACCGAAACAATATTTTTCTTTCACAGCAAATCAGCCGGAATAGTATTTCGGTTTAGTTTTTCAGCGAAACAAACAGGACCTTATATGACTTTGGTGCACACGTGGCACTACCAATTACGCAAGCACGTACTGAGCACTTGCAGGATTGTGCCCAACTACCTATTATTTCATTATTTGCCATGCATGCAAGGCAACCTGACAGTCTACGCTATAGTGGCGTGGGACGCTGTTTTTGAACAATCTGTTGCTGTAATCTTGAAGAGGCAACATCGTCTAAAAAAATATTTGATGGATACCAGTGTCGTTGTACAAAAAATCATTTTCTTCTAATCATAGTCATGATTTCTTACCATTTGTTGTAATCTTGAAAATACACTATCTGTTTCTTTGTTTTTTTCCTTGTCTTGGTATTGAGTTTATTACCATGTCTTGCTTACAGAGCACATGCTATTTTATGCCAGCGAGAAGTATCCTGGAGAATATGAGTATATGAAATATATCCCAGAGGTACATTCTATTCACCAATTCAATCCAAGTAGAGTGTGTGTGTGTGTGTGGGTGGGGGGGGGTTCATGCTCATTTCATTTTGCAAAAAAAAAACTCTTGAGTTCAACAATTAGCATAAATCACACAACCATATAGATTTGGATGAGTTTCAACTCATTTGCAGTGTGCTCTATATGATTTAAGAAGCTGAGCCTGTCACAATGTGAGACATGAGTTAGAGAAAAAAGGGCGTACCCAGTGCAGAGAGCTCCCGCTCTTTGCGGGGTCTGGGGAAGGGTGTCAGTGGCAAGCCTTACCCTCGCCTGTGCAATGCGAGGAGACCGCGACTCGAACCCGGGACCTTTCGGTCACAGGCGGTAAGACTCTACCGCTTGCACCAAGCCCGCCCTTCATAAGTTAGAGAAAAGACGAGAGGAAATGCTTTTATTAGGCAGGCGATGACAGGAGGCGTTTTATGACTCGTGCATTGTTCGGGGGACACTGCTTGTAAGGTTCTACCAAAAGGCCATAGGGGCATGGTGGTTAGAGTACAGCTCAAATGGTTCAACCTTCCAGTCTTACCATACATGAGCCATGCAAATCTGGGTGTGATCTCGAACAAAATACACTTAGCTCTGCAGCTCGTCTATGTATGGATATTTTGGTGGTGTCTTGTTACCCTTACCTAGCAGGGCAAATGCTGAAAAAAGGCAATAAAAATTTCCTTTCATAAGTCATTGAGTAGCTAAGCTCTCTACACGTCGGACAGTTTCCTGCCTGGAATTCTGTTATTATGATTTGTTTAGAAGTTGACTTGACACCTTATATTTCTTTAATAATATTCCTAGCCACTTTCAGTGTACTTTGGTTAAAACTTTGACTATTTGGTATGATGTGAAAATATCAGCATGGTGGCTCTTACGATGCAACTACATACGCAGACACAACAAATTTCTTTTTCGATGTCAATGTGGACAATTTTGAAGAAGCCTTAGATAGGCAAGTTTCTTGAGCAGTATTTTGTTCTCACTTTATCTATGTATGTTGGATAAGCTTCTGAGTTATGTTCTGCATTACTGCATGGTTGTTCATTGAATAAAAATGTGGTTATTCCTGATGCACAGATTTGCTCAGTTCTTCATTAAGCCACTTATGTCACAGGATGCTGTTCTTAGAGACAGTGGTGGAGCCAAGATGAGCACCTCGGGGGGTGGGGGGGGGGGCGCTAATCAATAGAGATTTAGAACAAATGTCGAAGATTAATGGTGAAATCATGTTTTTTTCTACAGTAAATACAAAGCAAAATCACTCTCACGGGGGGCTGCAGCCCCTAGCCCCCTGGATCCGCCAATGCTTAGAGAGACAAAAGCTGTTGATTCTGGTGAGCAGTTGTTTTATGCATGGTGACTCTACTTGCATTTGACAAGGCATATCCCTCTATTTGTATTCCAAATAAAATAAATAGTAATCCCTTGTTTCCAAAATGTAAGTCGTTTTAGTTTTCCCCTAAATCAAACTTCGTTATCTTCGATGAAGTTTACAGAAACATGCACCTGATATCTATAATATCAAATAAATGCACTACCAAGACATATTCCATGGTGGATTTAACAAAACTAATTTGATGTTGCAGATGTTAGTGTATTCTTCTATTAACTTGCTCAAATTTAAGTTTGACATAGTGCAAAATTAAAATGACCTTATGTCTCAAAGCAGCTAGCTTTGATGGCTTATTATTTTTACCTAGTCTGAGCTAACAACCCTAATAACTCTGTAATTTGCAAATTTTTTATTTGCAGTAAAGAGATCCACAACATGTCTATTTTTTCTATTTTATTGACCTTACATAACACAAGAAAAATTTGTTGTCTGATGGCTGGAGAATGGATCAGGTACTTGGAAGTTCGGCATTGTCAGTTAAAGATACATCAGATAATAGTTATGTGTCATCTCTCTATCAGAAACAACAATCAGTAGTGCATAAAGGCATTTTTGAGTACACAATTTTCTTATTTGCAAGGTGTGCTTCAATATATTAAAATAATAGTTTAAATCTTTAAGGCAGTAATAATTATGTTATTGCCTTATCAAAGTTTTGGTTCTCTTAAATATCCTAGTTTACAAATTTTAATTTTACAAGTTATGCTTCCATATTATGAGAACACCAGTGTAAATTTTGGTTGCGATCATACTCACTTTGGAACAAGAATTGACTGTAACACCCTAAAAATTTTAATTTTGAAAATAGGATTAAAATGATTTGTTTATGAATTTTTGTGCACACGAAACATAGAAAAATAATATTTTTTATTAAATTAAAATTTATCATAAGGTAGCAACATGTTTGTGCATACATGCTGGTGCATTTGCTTCTTTGTAGTGTGTGGATTTGATTCGAATTGAAAACATTCAAAATGCCTTTGAAATTTTTTTTGGAAAATGGTTTTGAAATAAAAGAAAAGAAAAATAAAAGAAAATTTGAAAATAAAAGAGTTTAAAAAGGTTGTAAAAAATTATTTTTGAAAACTTACCAAAATTGTTCATTTTGGTTTGAATTGAAAAGTATATTTGAAACCCTATTCAAACTTGGTATGGTATATATTTGAATGTGGTTTTGAAATAGGAAAAAAGAAAATAGAAAGGATTTGGAAAAAGAAAAGAAGAAAACTCTCCTCCCTCTCTCCGGCCCGAAGGCCATCTCTCTTTCCCCGCGTGGGCCGAGTTTGGCCGCAGCCCACTCTCCCTTCATTCCCTCTCCCGCGGCTTGCTTCTCTCCCTCGGGCTCCCTTTCTAGCGAGGCCAGGTCGCCAGCCGGCCCAATGCTCTCTCCTCCCTCCTCACTCTCTCGGCCCAAGCCGAAGGCCACAGCGGCAGCAGCGCCCTCATGCATCCCCTCTCTGGCTGATAGCCCTGGCCCGCACCCGCTCTCACTGACCGATGGACCCGCCTGGTCAGGCTCTTCTTCTACCTCGTGTAGCCGGCTCGGACTCCATCGAGCAGTCCGCCTTCGCCCCGTCCTTGCCTTGGCGTGCTCCCCAAGCCGCGCCAGCCCCATAAATAGCGCCCTGAGCCACGCCGCAACCCTTGCCCATACCCTAATCGCAGCAGCCACGCCCCTGAGCTCTCTCGCACCGCGCGCAAAACCCTAGGTATCGCCACTGTTGCTCGGTCCGCCACAAAGCCGCTTCGTCGATGAATCAGAGCCCCTGCCCCGCTTCGTAAGACGGTAAGGGAACCTCTGGTACTTTCCTTTCTCTCCCTCTCACTCTCAGTACCTCGCACGAGCTCGTCGTTGAAGCCGAGCCGCCAATCGTGCGTACCGCCGTCACCATCCATCCCCTGCTTCAACCAATACCATAGACGGATTCGTCATTTCGCCCTCTGTCTCCCCGTGCTATTCGTTGAATCAATCGAGGCCGGAATCGCCATTTTGGTGAACTCCGACAAGCGCCGACCATGTCTGTCACCGCTGAGGTTATTGTGCCGACGACCCAAACCTCCCCAACCGTTCGATCTTAGATGAACCGTCCAGATTAGAACCCAGCATACCCCTTCATAACCGGTCCATGAGCATAGTGTAGACTAGGTCCATAGCTCCGGTCCACCACCGGTGCACCATCTCCAGCCAATCCTACTTCGCCACATCATCCTCTGACCAGGTCAGCACCGACAGCCGCCGCACTTTTGCAAAAGGGACCCCAGTGTTTTGCAGAATTAACCCGCCGTCCACCTCAGTTCAAAACTAGTTCTAACCGTGCCCCTGTTTTTTTTATGTTTTGGCCCCTGTATTTTTCCAAAAACGAGGCCACGTCCATTCGGCATTTTAAATTTGGTTTTTAATTATTTTTAATACGAAATTGATTTCAAAATATCTACAAAATTGCCACTACCTTCTGTAGGCCATATTTTCTCCGTTTTAACTCCGATTTGACCTGTTCAAGTTGCGTCTGATTCGTAACGACGTAATCTACGTATTAGTGGTATTGTTTAACATGTTTGATGCTTTTGAATAAAATAGTAATTTGATTAATCTATATTAGTTTTTCAATTAAAAGCAATTAGGGATTTTCACCGTAGTCTTTTGTAAATAAAACAAGATTAATCTTATGTTGATTTTCTAATACAAATATAACTTGACTTAATCCAATTTAGATATTTTTTGAAGTATCTTATATATGTTTTATAATTAAAATAAATGAAGCCTATAGTTTTCTTTTTAAAACAAATCTTTCGGTAGTTGTATCTTTTTCACCATAGCTCCGATTAGTGTGCTTTTCGCGTCTGTGTGCTCGTAGCGAGACGTAGATTCGTTTTACAAACTTTTTATCTTGATTTTATGTTTGGTGTACTGTTCTAATTTAGATCAATTGTTTGCTTCGTGTATGATTGCATGGATGCTTGTGTGGTGTTTTATGATCATATCCAGTCGGTGAGCTTTGCGTTGGTGATCTAGAAGCAATTCATTGAAGGTTTGGACTAGAAAAAGGATCTGAGTTTAAGGCAAGTATATCATGGGATCTTCCTTGTTGTCCTATTTACCTTAATATCATTTGAATCATATGCATGTGTCTACCTTAGCAACCACAGTGATTTTCCTAGCTATTTGATATCCTAGATTCCTTAATTCCTATAGGTTATTGCATTGGGTAGTATGATGCTATTGCTCAACTACAACCATGATCTTGTAACTTGACTAATGTATTATGCAATAAACATCAAAAGATGCTTTTTAGCAACATGGACCAAGGGGGCTAGAGCATTGGGCTGTTTTATGGTGTTCTAGATTTATCTCCCTAAGAACTTATCTGTAAGTGATCATCCGAGACTTACAGTACATCTGTGAGGGCTACATGGCTCTAGCTTTAGCTCAGTATGAGGATCTTTTCTAGCTTGTTAGAGGTTACCTTTATTGACGTAAGAATGGCTTGACGAATCAGGTATAGGACAACCTCTACTCTTATGTGTATAGCCATGATGAAATTGTGCCATTCGACAGGGGGTTCCTATATCTGTTTGCCGAGTGAATCTAATGACCCTAACTTGTTAGATGAACTTTTGAAATGCTTCATAGTGAACCCTACCGACCTTTCTAGGTAGTGGGTCAAGAGGCTGATCATCTCGGGTGAAAGGGTAACTCAAGACTCACAGTGAAAGTGTACAACCTCTGCAGAGTGTAAAACTGGTATATCAGCCGTGCTTACGGTCACGAGCGGGCTTGGAACATTTACGGAATAGATGATGAACACCGATGATAATAATGATAAAGATGCTCGCTAATGATTACTGTTTATGCTATTCATTATTTCATGTTTACCAGATCATGTGTTTATATGGGCTTGTGAATAAACTTGTTGCCACCCTATTGCTAAAATCATGACTCGTTAAAAACTAATCGTAGTTAAACCAGTGTCAGCCTTTTGAGCCTCATGAACCCCATGTTATATTTGTTGAGTACGACATGTACTTACGCTTGCTTTACTTTTTAAATCTTTGGGAAAAAAATCCCGAATGGGTATCAGATTGCTAGAGTTTGGAGGAATTAGGCTTGTGATCAACCAGTCAGTTGTCCCTATGAAATTGGAGTCTTCACCCGAATATCGGAGTTGTCTTTCTGCTGTTTGCTATCTAAGGTTATATCCTTTACACTAAGTATGTTATATATTGAGCATTGTCTTTCGATATTACCCTTATTTGAAGCTATATGTGAGATTTGACTTCCTAGACTCACATATGGTGTGTATCTGGTTTTGTTCTTAAAACCGGGTGCTACATTGATCATACATTGCATTATCCAAGTCTTGCTTATCCTCAAAATATCTTCCACTTTTGAAGCTTACCATTTCACTTTAAAGTTTTGATCCAATAGCCATGCTACATTGTGGTCTCAGTTTCTTTCTTTTTTTTCTCTCACAGCTTCAAAGGCATCTGGCTTCAAAGGATCACCCTTACCACAGATTCGGTATAGGTAAGAATGCTCTATGTTCAGATAGTTGCAGTGGGTGCTCTTTTGGT